TCAGGGAGCCACACAGAGAGAGCCCAAGAGTTGGGCAATCAATTTCAAGTACGATCTCCAACGATATAAGCCAAATAAAAGACGCGTCGCTCTCCCAGACCAACGGCAAGAAATGCAAGAGACGTTTACTAGGATTCGAAATTGACTTTGATCACATCCCCACCCCAACCGAATCTCCGAATCCATTGTTGAGCATGGGGAAAATGCGTACGATTCTGCTACGAACGGGAAGAGTACGGACGCTTGGTGATGAGGTGACTAAAGATGGGAGCATATTTGTTAGGTCTGATTAACCGTTGTCGAGGATGTTTTCCTGTTAGGAAGTCTTATTTTCTGGGTACTACTTCAAACATTCCCGTACACCAGCGTTGTCTTTGAATCTAATCAATTTGCCAAAGAGGATTGATTGCGAATGAAGACAGCTAAGGGCAACGGTATCAGAATACTTAATTCCTACGACAAGTACAACGAAATCCGCGTCACTCAGATTAACATGTGATTTCTTTCAACATAGAGTATGGGTAAGACTCCGTGAGTTGCAAATCCAAAAATTATAACTACTTCGGGTGGTACCGACATAGGACTGTAAGCGACAGCAAGGGATCTACGTGCAATGACAAGACTGTGTGACATGTTGCATGAAGCCGACAACTTCAGAGAGATGACCCTGGAGTGTAGAGGTCATGTTCCTATATGCGCAGGTCAGGCTGCGAGTCTAGTAGGAAACCGTTTGGAACATATACACACCTTTGCCAATGTTGCACCTTCAGATAAAATAGTGAGGCAAGACCGCAGGTCCTTCAAACACCACTGCCTCTCGAGCCAGGAGAGGAGATTACGATTCCAGAAAGACTGAAATGTATGAGTGAGCTTCTCGTCCCATGGATTCGGAGCCCGCGAGAGATGGACAGCCCAATTCTGACATGCATAGCTGAGGGTGTCAGAAGCTGATCGACTTCTTTCCCGTGCTTCGTATGCGAAACTTGAAAAGGCTTTTATAGCATGGATGATTTCCATGTCTGGTGGAAAATGACCTTGTGTCGATGTAGAGGTGGAATGATCCTGGTGCCTCAATGCTAGGAACGCTGGGAACATTAAGAAATCCGGCAGGCTCTTGAACTGCTGGATCACTTGAAAAGCTGGCTGCGAATGCGATTCTGGAGCAATGATGTACTCTCTGATTGCCTCAAAGGTGCTCGAGAATTCTTCCACGGTCACCCAGAGTGTGGTTAAACGCCATGCTTGACCATGTGGTGTCTGCAGCCAGTCTCTCCCACCCGGTGTCTGCAGCCAGTCTCTCCCGCCCGGCATCTGCAGCCATGTTCGCCCGCCCTGAGTTTGTAACCATGTTCGCACGTCCTGAGTCTGCAGCCAGTGTTCCCCGCCCCGAGTCCGCAGCCAATCTTCCCCACCCAGGATCTGCAGCCAGCCTTGTCCGCCCTGAGTCTGGAGCCAGTCTCGCCCACCTTTGGTTTGCAACCATTCTCGCCCATCCTGTGTCTGGAGCCAGTCTTTCCCACCTAGAATCTGCAGCCAGTCTTGTCCGCCCTGGGTCTGCAGCCAGTCGCACCCACCCTGGGTTTGCAGCCAGTTTTTCCCGCCTGGGGTCTGCAGCCAGCATCGCCCATGGAGAGTCAGCCACCAGAACTCCCCACACCCAGTTTGGAGCCACTCTCGCCCGGCTCGCGTCTGCAGCCATTTTTGCCCAGCCTGAGTCTGCAGCCACCATTGCCCAGCCTGGGTCTGCAGCCAGTGTTGTCCAGCCTGGGTCTGCAGCCAGTCTTGCCTACCCAGGGTCTGCAAGTCTCTCACACCATGGATGTGCAGCCAGGATTCATCCCACTGGGTCTGCATGAGGTCTGCTCTGCTGAGGGGTGGTGGCGAGGATGCTTGGGGGGATGGGGGTGAGGATTGGTATGGGGATGGGGGTGAGTATTGCTGGGTAGAAGGTGGCGGCAAGGATAGCCGTGATCCATTGAGGGACTGCCACCAGTGTTTCCCACGGAGCCAGTCCTTCCCTCCTTGGGTCTGCAGCCTGTTCTCCCCTCCTTGGGTCCACAGCCGGCCTTTCCCTGCTAGGGTCTGCAGCCAACCCTTCCCTCCTTGGGTCTGCAGCCAGTCCTCCCCTCCTTTGGTCTGCAGCCAGTCCTCCCCTCTGGTCTGCACCCACTCTGTTCCTGCTGCAGTCTGCAGCCACGTTGTTCCTGCTTCAGTCTGCAGCCAGTGTGCCCCTGCTTCAGTCCGCAGCCAGACCTTCCCTGCTTCGGTCCGCAGCCAGTCCTTCCCTGCTTCGGTCCGCAGCCAGTCCTTCCCTGCTTCGGTCCGCAGCCAGTCCTTCCCTGCTTCGGTCCACAGCCAGTCTGCTCCTCCTTCGGTCCGCAGCCAGTCCTTCCCTCCTTCAGTCCACAGCCAGTCTGCTCCTCCTTTGGTCCGCAGCCAGTCTGCCCCTCCTTCTGTCCGCAGCCAGTCTGCCCCTCCTTTTGTCCACAGCCAGTCTGCCCCTCCTTCGGTCCCCAGCCAATCTCTGCCTCCTTCGGTCCCCAGCCAATCTCCGCCTCCTTCGGTCCCCAGCCAGTCTCCGCCTCCTTGGGTCTGCAGCCAGGCATGGCCGTCCAGAGTCGCTAGCCAGAATCGTAAATCGGAACTGTGATCTCCCCGAAGCCATAGCGTACAGATAAGAACTGACAGTGGCTCCGGTGACCGAACGAGGAAGGCTAGTGAATCTTTTAATCTCTGGGGATCCTGGGGTTGCATGGCTTGGCTCTGCCTCTGCAACTCTGAGAGCGCATCCAGGAGGGCCGTACTTTCTGGTATCTCCTTCATCATCAAGTGGAGAGAGGAATGTGCGAGTAGGGAGTGGGGTGATAGGATATCGTGTACTTGAGGGAGACTGCAGTTTGAGGGGTCGGAAACATAGTCGCGAACGGACAAGTGATATATATTCACGGGGAGTCTGTAGTCTGTAGGAATACTCATGAGAGACCGTAGCTGCATCAGTGCTGTCTCCGCATCCCTCCCTTGGCCAGCGCCAAGAAGTTTCGAGATTTGTGACATCGGCAAAGGGTCTGCAAGGGCAGCTACAACAGACAAGTGCAGGTATGCCCGTTTGGGGTTGGCGCATGTAGAGAGGATACAATCGTATAACTTGTACACCTCCGTTCCTGGTAGCAGGTCGCTCGTTAGCTCGAGCATCAGCTGCAGCCGATCGTTGGGATCATTGGCTTCATCGTCGATAAACTTCATCATCGTGGATGCCACGACGAAACGTCTGCCTGCTCGACTAGCAAGCCGCTCAAGTTGATCCCTCGATGGCTGCGGAAAATTGGGATGACGACTTTCCAGCTCTCCGAAAGAATGCTGCAAGAAAATACAAATGTCATTGTCAACATCTGCGCCGTCTAATGAGATGATGGTAGCAACACCCTCCCCAGAAATTTTCACTGGTATCTCACACACCAACGACCGGACCTCTTCTTTCTGAGAGGCTTGGCAGATATGCGATTCCGAGCGACTCGTGAGGAGAATGTGGGTTATGGGCAGATCAGGTTCACGAAGAGCACGTGCAGGGGAAAGGATGAGTTCGATGAGCTCGGGTTCGGATGTGCACTCATCAAGGGCATCGACGACAAAGGTCAAAGGCGGACACCCGCTCAGCCTGGATTTGAGCCTCCGGAGAGGTCGGAGAAAAAACGCCTCCATCTGGTCGCGGAGTGGCGTGCTGGAGTCCAGAAGGGCGGGATTATCGTAGATAGCTCTTTTCACGTCCGACCGGATGCTGGGAAAATTGCTAGCAAGCTGGTAGACAAGCGTCGCAAAGAAATAACCAGTCGTGCAGCGTTTGGTGTGCTTGCGCGAGAAAAAGAATGTTCCTGCAAGCCGCTTTTCGACTGTCGTCTCCTCTGTCACTTTCAGGTCTCTCATCCTTTCAGCTACTGTGAACGCGACAGCAGACTTTCCAACGCCCGCTGTGCCATGCAGCCAAATGAGTTGACTCTTCTCCCGCTTGTCTAACAATGTGTGGATGTATTTGAGAAGGTCCACCCGGGTCCCTGCCAAACATTTTGGATGCGGATGGCGTTCAGGGGAGTCATATTGAGCCCCCTTGACGGCGACCTGGGACAGCTTCTCCCAAGTTCCATCTAACGATCGAGAATCTGTTGGTGTGGTCAGAGAGCGAGGGAGGAATAAGAGATGAAATACTGACATTGATCCTGACTCATTGACGGCGGTCGTGACACAGATTATTTGATGGAATGGAACAACTCGGGGAAGTAATACTAGCTTGGTTCGAGGTTACGGTTAGCAATCATCTGGGCAACGGTTATAGCAAGGAACGACGTACGAATATTTGAATCAAAGGATCAATAAGAGTCCAAGCTGCTACTTGGATCTATACTGGTCCTTGGGGCCGAGGTAAGGTGTGAAGGCTTTAACTTAGGTCGCGAAACAAGCTGTAGAGAGATGGAGAGTCCAAAGCGAGAGAGATGTGATGGATGTACAGATGTTTCAACCTATGCTGCTGGAAAGCTTGCTGGATGGTGGTGGAATACCGTAGTCGAAGGACGAGTGGGCGTTTGTCTGGTTGCAAGTCCCAGGAGGTCACGAGTGTGGCGTCTGCGCCTTGACAACGAAAGCAGAGCCAAGACTTAGAAGATCGAGAGACGTGGCTAATCGAGAGTCTGGGATTAGCGTTACCTTGTGACCGTTTGTTTCACTTTCTATCTTATTTGTTATTTCTTAATCACGGGCTTCGTACGCATCGATAGTATTTAGAGTCGCGATTTGTATCGAAGTCCGTAGCACTCTCCCAAATTATACCGGACTGGTATCTGGTTAACCTTGCGTGAAAGTCTCTATTTGTTGTGCCGCCACTTAAAGTTCTAATAACTTCTACCTGCCGTCACATATTTTTTAACCTTCCTCAGTCCTCCCTTTACTTCTCCCCTCGAACCCTTCGTCAACTGGTCTGGCCCACCACGTTTATTGAAGGACAAGCAATAATGTCTTCTAACAACACATACAATCTTCGCTCGCGCACTCGCGTTAGAGCTAGCTCAGTTTCTACCCCTGCACATGAAAAGAACATAGAGGTGCGTGATGATTTCGGAAATTTTATCGTTAATATACTATCTAGCGCCCAAATTACGGCGGAAGGCCCCAGCTCTAGGGCTGCGTTGCCTGACTCTGTGGAATCCCCTCTGACCTCAACAGGGCAGTCCGAAAGGACTGGAAGCGAGAGTCCGTCCGCATTGAGACCCATGCACTCCTACAACGACGTGGTCTGTGCGAGTAGCCCTGTATCAGACCCTAGGGTCAAACAGGAGAATACCCTGGCGTTAGACACAATAACTGGTGTCGAATTAGACACCAACGCAGATACACCTGTAGAAAGGTCAATAGATCATGTCACCTTTGAAACTGCTAGTGATAAGAGTGAACATACCGGTAGTGAGGACAATGACGATCATCCATGGACGACGGTCCAACACAACAAAGGATCACGGGCAAAGACACCTGATATCCTGACTGGTGCTCAGAAAAGCACAGTTCAAGCGGCAGAGTGACAGCTTATGCATAGGGAATGAACCCAATTGGCCAGACGCCAAGAAAGACTGAGTCAACGAGACAGCACGACCGCACCATCGGAAATGTCGCCGAGCGGTGGAGGACCTTCAAAGGGAAAAGGCATAGATCCAGGAAACTGGGGGGCTATAACCAATGAAGGAGAAATAGATATCGAGGAGCAGTGCACTGCCCTTGAATCCTATAGAGTGGCTAAAGATCTTGCGAGTCAGTCGGAGTCCCCACAGGAAGAGGAGGACGATCCTACTGAAACCGACAGACCCGAGATCCAAAACACGTCAACCGAGGACATTTTCGCTCAGGCCAGGCATGAGCAGAAATTAATCAACACTGCTGTAGAAAGGGCAGAGAAGTGCATTCAAAAGAAATATGATGAAAAATTAAAGGAATTGACCTTTAAACTGCGGGAAAAAAAAGAGGAAACTTCAACTCCCAGAACGTGAACAAGGATCCAGCAACCCGATAGAGGGCAAGTGATGGAGCCCATGCATGTTAGGTACCGTGCTGGCTCAAGAGGCAGAGGGGTCAGAGCTTGGCTTCAGCTCTTGCGCTGCGCCCTTAGCCGAGTACGTGCCCCGAATTTGGAGCGGATCCGACATTGTCTGATGATAGGACGAGTGGACCGCTTAGGTCCGCTTTGAGGGTCAGGAAGTAAGAGCTGCTAGCGGTGGACCGACTAAGAGCGGAGTGGAGAAGGTGGGGAATGATGTGGAGGGTGGGTAGAAACCAGGGGGATATTTGATAGGAGCGGAGATGGCAGAGGATAATGTAGAGGATAGGAAAAGGGGTGATAGGAGGATATTGATAGGGGCGGGGTAACAAGGGAAAGACTTAGAGCACGGCTCTAAGTTGGAGCGGAGGGTCGGAGGGTCGGAGGTGACAACAAGTTGAAACTTGTGTCCAGAGGAGGCAAGGTCCTACTGAGAATTCCCACAAGAGGTAACTGCGAGAAGACAAGTAATATTAAGACTAAGGAAAAATATCTAAGTACAGGATATGTTATATACTTCTATGTGAGGCAGTGATCAGGATAACTATGTAGTAAAGCTATGTACCAAGGATATAGTTTGTAAGTACTTTACATAAGCAAAGACATAAGTTGGAGCAGATATCAATATGTACACGTCGGATCAGCGATTGGGCAGTAATAGGAATTACCGGTGATCCGGAAGTAAGAGTCTATGTACCAAAGGGGAAAGCATATATCTAAAAGGGGAAAGAGGTCCAGTTGAATGGAGAGGTTTTATGGAAGGGGACCGGTTGAGTGGTTGAGCGGAAGTGTAGGGTGGAATGCGGGGTTGTGATAGGATGGGGCGGAGGGGGTCGGAAAGCGGAACGGATATCAGTATCGGAGCGGACGGATCTGGTATATGACAGCACACCAGGTAGCGCCCCGGTCTTATATTGGAAAAGTGTTAGGGCACCTGGATAAAATGCGCCATAGCAGGGACCCTGACTCAGATAAGTCGGACCCAAGCTCTACATTGAGCAGCTTGGATAGTTCGGGTGATGAACAGAGCTTGTCATCATCAGAAGAACAGACGATACCTACCAGGAGTAAGTTATCCAAAAAACACTCGAAGGTGTTTCATCGGTTTATTACCGAGGGAACAGCCTACGTAGAAGACGGAAGAGTCTCCTCCAACCGACGAGTATTTGTGTTGTCGCACTACCTGACAGGAAAAGCACATGACTACTATCAGCAGGAGGTGTCGGGTGAACACCACTGCTGGCAGCTCGGGGAATTCTTCACCGAGTTGTTTAACTACTGCTTTCCTATCACCTATAGAATGGATCAGAGGAAAGAACTGAAGTGTTGCTTCCAAAACGACAAACCTGTCAGAGAATACATTTACAGGCTTAATGAACTTTGCATCATGGTAGGTGATGTGAGCAAGCACGACTGAGTAACTCGCCTCTGGATGGGACTAAAGATGGAGATTCAGCGAGAGCTTTGGAAAAAAGAATTAAACCCGGAGGTATCTACCTTTGGGGAGGTACAGACCGCAGCAGAAATCATTGAAATAGCCCATTCAGCCTCGGCTGGACGGGACAAGTCTGTCAATAAGAAGGAACAAGTGACAAATGTTGTGGTAGCTAGCGCAGCGGCAATGTCAAAACGATTTAACAAGCCAGATAGAAATGATGTATCTGGTCAATCAAGGCTCCTGGGGTTGAGAAAACAGCGAGACAACCATTGAGGAACCACGAGGGAGTTTAAGACCCCCGTTACTAGAGGGTCGAGCAAGAAACTGTGAAACATGATCAGCCCAGAGGAACATGAGCGCTGACAGGCTGAGGGTCGATGTTATGTCTGTGGGGAGTTGGGACATGAGCCCCTTCAGTGAATTCACCTGTCTCAGACGGGCAGCCGGGCATGACAATGTGCCGATAGAGACGGGTCACCCAGTGCCGGCCCATGGCAATAATTGTACCATGTTAGACAAGTGGGCCGAGGGGGTGGAGTGTCCAAGGCAAACGGATGGGCTGGGTGTATATAGTATAGATGGTAGTATAGCAATGTACTATATAGGAAATTGTGAATAGTAGTAGTGAATCCAGTGTGTGATAGATGAGTGGGCCAGAGGAATGGAGTGCAATATAGACAAGTAGGCCGGGGGAACTGGGGGTGTGATGGAGACGAGTGGGCCAGTAAATGAGGTGCAATGGAGACAAGTGGGCCGGTACATAAGGTGCAATGAAGACAAGGGGGCCGGAGAATAGGGTGCAATTGAGATGAGTGGGCCGGTATAGCAGGTGCAATGGAGATGGGTGGGCCAGTAAATAAGGTGCAATTAAGATGAGTGGGCCAGTATAGCAGGTGCAATGGAGACGGGTGGGCCGGTATAGCAGGTGCAATGGAGATGGGTGGGCCGGTATAGCAGGTGCAATGGAGATGGGTGGGCCGGTAAAGGAGGTGCAATGAGGACGAGTCAGCCAGCGTTATTGGGTGCAATGAAGACAAGTCGGCCGGTGATATGGGGTGCATGAAGACGAGTGGGCTGGTGATATGGGGTGCAATGAAGACGGGTGGGCCAGCATGATAGGGTGCAATGGAGACGGGTGGGCCGGTATTATGGGGTGCAACAATGGACCGGTATTTATGTAACCGGTTGCTTGTGGTAACATAGCACTCAATCCGGCGATTCCACCGGTGGTCTGATCATGTAAAATGGTTAATATTTGACAATGTTATGAGCCTTACAACAAGAGAAAGTCACAAATTCAGAGCATATGTGATATCTAGACCATTGTGACCGGTATTTTTGACCGGTAGTTATGTGACCAGTTGCTTGTGGTAACATAGCACTCAATCTGGCGATTTTTACCGGTGGTCTAATCATGTAAAATGGTCAAGACTTGACAAAGTTATGAGCCCTACAAGAGAAAGTCATGAATTTAGAGGATATATGATATTTACACTATTGTGACCAGTATGTTTCAACTGGTATTTATTCAACTGGTTGCTTGTGGTAACACAGCACTCAATCCGGTGATTATACCAGTGGTCTGACCATGTAAAATGGTTAAGATTTGACAAAGTTATGAGCCTTACAAGAGAAAGCCACTCATTCAAAGGATATTATGATATATTGTATCTAGACCATTGTAACTGGTATTTTTTGACTGGTATTTATGTGACCGGTTGCTTGTGGTAACATAGCACTCAATCCGGTGATTCCACCGGTGGTCTGACCATGCAAAATCATTAAGATCTGACAAACTTATGAGCCTTACAAGATAAAGCCACAGATTTAGAGGATGTTATATCTAGACCATTGTGACTGGTATTTTTGTGAACAGTTGCTTGCAGTAATATAGAACTCAATCTGGTGATTCCACTGGTAGTCTGATCATGTAAAATGGTTAAGATTTGACAAAGTTCTGAGCCTTATAAGACCAAGTCATAAATTCAAAGGATACAGTGTTGTATCAGCTTATATCTGAACCATTGTAATCAGTAATTTTGCAACCGGTTGCTTGTGGTAATGTAGCACTCAATCAGGGGATTCCATTTTGCCCCTTTGATAGGAGAGTGTTCTAGCACTGTCAAAACATATTTAGGAGTATATATTAACATATTCCACCACTTAGTTGACCCCCTGAAGGGCTACATCAAACAATATAGCATATATACATGAAAACATAACTGATAAGAACCCTCCAACACTATCAAGGATGTTATTGGTAATCAGACACTTGGGATATGTCCCATGTATATCCCTAGTCATGGTCCTAAAATTCTGGAAAGATGCCTCAAGTATTGACTGTAAGATAAGTAAAACAACATAGGCTTGACATATGACAATTTACCCCTGTCACTGAAAGTCACTGACATATATCACACACACCAAAGATTTTATTAAAAATGCAGTAGTATGTATAGTAGACTACATAATGAACCTAAAATACACATTGCCCTGAAGGTAAAGTCTTTGTAGAAGAGTGTGGTGAGGAAATATTAGGATTGGTAAGTAAAAGTCCAACCACTACATATACACCAAACTGGTGAGTTTCGATGTTTTGGGCTTTTGGACTTTCCCACACTCTATTTCAGAGATATTTCACTGCCCTAGCTCTCAACTGTTAGTGGATCCTTTTATAAATCTGAGACCATGATATTGACCATGCTTAGAATATATTGCAAGCATCTGATTACTAGATTGTGTCCATTGGAGAATGTAGGCCCCTTATCAGTACACATACCCCATTTCCCTTAGATAACAATATTATACCATATTTCTAACTGATCCTTGGGATGAGAAGTAGGTATATATGTAGTAAGGATAATATATGAGTAGTCTGGATCATTTATGCAATGGTAAAGTAGGGGAAAACACCAAAAATGCGACAACTGCAATCTTAGAAGTTTTAGCCTGTATAGAAGGATTCTGTAGGTATCCTGATGTACCAACCTGGTGTACATACTCTAAATATGTCTAGGAATGGTCCCCATATCTTTCTGCAGCTGTGTTCCTGTAGGAAAACCTTTCCCAGAGGATGGACCACCAGGAGAGGGTGAGTACACAGCATCACAAGGTTTTGTCTGTGGATGTTAAGGTCATGCTCAAAGGAAGGAGAACTCAAAGGGCTTGACTTCAGCTTGTGTGCTGCACCCCTTACCCGAGTATGTGCCCTTAATTTCTGAGAGGCAGGAGGGAAGTCCAACAAAGTCCAGAGGTTTCCGGAGGTCAGACACTAGGGGAGTTCAGTGGAACTCCAGAGGTTCAAGGAAGCCCAGAGTAAGACTGCTGTGGAAAAGTCTGGAGTAGAAATGGAACAGAGGTAAACTACCCTAAGGTAGAGCTGGAAATACACTGGTCTAGATATAACATATCCTCTGAATTTATGACTTTCTCTTGTAGGGCTCATGACTTTTTCAGATCTTAACCATTTTACATGATCAGACCACCAGTGGAATTGCCGGATTTAGTACTACATTACCACAAGCAACTGGTCACATCAATACCGGTTGAAAAATACCAGTCACAATGGTCTAGATATCACATATGCTCTGAATT